ACGGACGTCATCAGGGGACGCAGAGAAGCAGCGGAGAAGCAGAGAGCCAGCAGCGCCCAGCAGAAGCGCCCGCGGGGCCCGCCGCCTTTCCAGGTGTGCGCCGGGGACTTGCGCCACGCTAGCGCGAGACCTTCAGCACCTCAGCGGCGGACAGCGACGCGGTGCGCGACCGGACCCGCCGCCTCTCCAGGTGTGCGCAGGGGGCCGGCGCCACGAGATCCCTGCTCACCCCATAGACATCTGTTTAAGGATATTCCTCAAATCTCTTGGAAATAGTTGAGCTGACTTTACTTTGTGAGTTATGGGCTATGCTCCTGGGGGTCTCAGGCTCCCTTGAGTAAGGGCAGGGGTGGGGGTAGGAAGTGGGGTTCAGCAGGGAAATTGGATAATTGAAGAGAATTCTTTAGTTTCCTGGGATTAGAGGACTTTCTCCTATTGGTTGGTTTGGACTGGAATCTGTGGACCCTGCAGCTCTGGAACAGAGTAGTTCTGCTGTGTCTGGCTTTCTCCAAGCCCAGGCTCCCTACCCCCAACCCATGCCAGCACCTCCCTTTCCAAACCCTCAGACTGGCCTTTTAAACCACACAGAGAGAGGGGAAGAAGCAGGAGCTGAAAGTGGGGTTGGGGGTGGATTTAGAAGGAAGAAAGAGGGTAGAAGTTACACCAGCATCTGCTTGTGCATCTTCCCTAACTCAGGAGGCCGCAGCAGGAAGTGGTAAAAGGAAGAAACAGGATCATCCTGTGAAGCCATGTGAGGGTCTAATGTGCTCCAGTACCAAGCCTCGATCCCCAGAGAAAGGTCCACACCTGGATCTGGGGAAGCAGGCTGGTCGAGGAGAAGGAAAACAACAAAATGGGGTAGGAAAGCTTGGGGAGGAGGTTCAGCTGTGCTCGACTTTGATGAGGGACATGGGACCATAGGGAAAGGGCTGTGTGGGGAGAGAAGGCAAAATGGGGAGCCCTGATAGACTCTACTGCCTCCACATCCTGGAAAGCCATACAGGCCACAGCTTTTCCTGTGAAGCGCTGAAGAACAGACATTTGTTCTCCTGCAAGGATAGCACATAGAATGGGTCCCCTCTAGTGCACCTCTGTGGAGAAAGGAGGAGCACAGATTAGGGAGTTATGTTTCTCTCCTCTTGTAACATTCAGTTTTGGGTTGGATGGGGGAAATGGTACAGAAACGTTAGAAGGCCCCTCTAACCTACCTAGCAGCAGGAAATGTTGCTGAGGTCAGAGGCACTCAAAGGGACTGACTCATGGAGGAGAGTCAATCAGCAGTTCTTGAGTCTCTAATGTTTCAGAAGTATCAGCAGTCTCTCCTGGTTTCAGGCCCTGTAATCTTTGTTGCATCTCACTCAGTGATGTTCCCAGTCACCTCTGTCAGTCTCAGAGAGTTTGTGCTGGGCCCATAAAACAGCTCCAGACAGGAACAAGGGTAGTACATCATGGTGTTAAGACTAGAGACCTTGGTAACAGATATTAAGGCAGATGTGGATGAAGATACAAAATGATAGAAATGGTTGTGAGTACTGGTGGGAGTGTGATTCAGGATAAACCCTTTGATACATAGTGCACCATTGTGCAAAATTTTCCAACCCAAGAATTGCATTATATACCCAAGAGGACCTTCTATATGTATACACCCAGGAGACATGTGCAAGAATATTTAAAGTAGCTCTTCACAGTGGCAAAAACCAGGAGTTAATGGTCAGTAACACTCAACAATAGGAATAAATCTTATTCCTATTGTTTTTTCAAAGTTTCAGAAAAAGCTGGCCATGGTGGCATTTACCTTTAGTCCCAGCACTCAGGAGGCAGAGGCAGGCAAATCTCTGTGAGAGTGTGGCTAGCCTGGTCTACATAGTGAGTTCCAGGCCAGCTGGGGCTACAGGGAGACCATATCTCAAAAAAAGAAAAGTTTCAGAAAACTGTACATGTTCAGGCATGATGGTACATGTCTGTAATCCCAGTAGTATGTAGGGTAAAGCAGAAGGACCTTACCAAACGTGTGCCAGGCTTACTACCAACAGCCCTCAAAGCCAGGGCTAGCTGCATGGATAAGAGGCTTGTTCCTAGCATGAAGCTCCCACTGGGGCATGGGGTGTCAAGGACTGCCTCTATAAAGATCAGGGTGAGAATGCCCAAGCCTTAAACAGCAAACTCTACAGCCAGCCTGGACTACAGAGCAAGCACCAGGCCAGCCAGGGATACATAAGAAGACTGTCTCAAAAAAATTGTATATGCCATGATAATCTTTTTTATAAAGTTTTAAAAAATCAACTAAGTGCTGGAGAGATGGATCAGTGGTTAAGAGCACTTGCTGCTCTTGAAGAAGACCCTGGTTCAGTTTCCAGCACCCACATGGAAGCTCACAACCATGTCTAACTCCAATTTCAGAAGATCAGAAGATCCGACGCCCCCTTCTGGCCTCTGTGGGCACTGCATGCAGGCCAGCTGGGGCTACAGGGAGATCCTGTCTCAAAAATACCAAAACAAAAAAAAAAAAAAGGAAAATCAATCAACTAAATGGGGGCTGGAGAGATTGCTTAGTCATTAAAGACTCAGGTTCACAACCTAAACATAAAAAAATCAACAAAATGGATGAGAATGTGACTCGGTTGGTAGAGTGCTTACATATCATGCACAAAACCCTAATGCCTTGTACTCCATAAAATGGGGAATGGTGGTGCATGCCTATAACCCCAGATCTTGGGAGGTGAAAGCAAGAGGATCAGTAGTTCAAGGTCATCCTCAGCTACATAGTAAGTTTAAGACCAGCTTGGTCTACATAAGACCCTGCCTCAAAACAAAACAACGAAATCAAGCTAAAGTAATGTGCTTTTCAGAATAAAAATGCATATACAGGTGAGATGAAACCACATTAAAAAGTAGAGCGTGGATTGGCACAGCTGGCTTCTTCTTTTCCCAACATGGCACAGTAAATTAACATCAATCATGGAGCTGAATCTGCCACAGTTAGAAATACTCAAGAACCAGCTGAACCAGGAAGTGGAGTTCTTGTCCACATCCAATGCCCGGCTCAAGGTGGTACAGACCAAGTGCGTGGAAGTCAAAGACTATCTGAATGTTCTGAACAAAAGCAAAGAGGGAAAAGAATTACTGATTGATTC